ACATGTGCATAGATATACATCTTAGCAGACCTACTTAAACATGTGCATAGATATACATCTTAGCAGACCTACTTAAAAATGTGCATAGATATACATCTTAGCAGACCTACTTAAACATGTGCATAGATATACATCTTAGCAGACCTATTTAAACCTGTTCACAGATGTACATCCTAGAATACCTACTTCTATTTGTCCACAGATATACATCATATCAGCTACCGCAACCTTTAAACAGAACTACAACCTATGAAACATAATGCAACTGCACACTATACAGTACAGATGGCATGATAAGGGAGCCTAGTAGGCCTAAAACAACTTGTACACATATAAAAACCTACAATCTAGCAGACGTTGCACAACCTACAAAGGACTTAGTAGATCATGTGGGTAAATGTTACACAACGTCAAATCCTAACAAAACTGTGTTGCTCTGGATCTCTACAATGTAGAGTACACAACTGTGATGCTCTGGTCTCTACAATGTAGAATTTATATCACATAATTTTACTATCCCGAAGATCATGTAGAAAATATATACGTAATGTGTCCAATACACATTTTAAAAAAGTACATTCTAAGAATCAGAATACAACCCGTGTACGGACATGTACATGTTACACAACGCTACAAGCTAGCATTTGAACACAACCGCTTCTCACATAGGATATTGTAGAAGCTATGTATGCTGAGATATATGATACAACCTATATTATTATACTCACTCAGAGTACTTTATACAGTCTTCCTTACTGAATGCACTACAGTGTTGATGACATTAATTCCCCTCCAATAATGTATCCCGTGTCCAAAAATTAAAATAAATATCTGTGCAACTAAAATACCTAACGTGACGAACAATATTTTACTGTCCGATATTTTTAAGTCAGTAAAATTATTTTTACAGTTATCAGTGCAGACAAATTATATTGTAGAGACGAATCGAATGAGATAAGGTAAAATGGAAAATAATCTGGTAAAGAGAACCAACTTTTCAAATAAACCAAAGCCCCAAAAGGTGAGTTTTTTTTACGAAAACATAATCCGCGAGAAAATCATTTCGGATAAAATATGAATAAGTCAACCTAATAGATCGCATATAGGCCTACCTTTACCCTCTAGCTGTCTAACACACTTAAACAAACTTGTACACAGCATATGAAATTAACTTATATTTAGCAGACTGAAAAATCCACCTTGTCACTAGCATGACGTAGAATAAAATCGTGTGTAAAACCTTTTGAACACAAGTCAAACAAGTTTAAGTAGCTTCTATTTTGTTGCTTTGGTAATTTTGCAGTTAATTTTAAACGCGCAACTAAATATATAAAAACCATTATATACAATAAGCATATTATTATGTGATTACAAGTTTAAATTATTTAAAGCCATGAATATTACTGTTTTTACATTCTATATAATTTGAAAATCACACACACATATTCCTGTAACCGTTAGTGCAGAAATTCTTGTATGTGTAGAGAGATATTTTCTGTTGATTCAATAGATACTCTTGCTTGAACAAATGTTTTTCCCAATGCATCCCTTGATGCACCCTTTTGGGCTGGGCTGGCTGCATTAAATTAAGTCATAACAGCCAAAAACGTTTGCTTAAATATCAAACTTTGCAGTAATGGCCTTACAGGTAATGGGATAAATACACACACATTAGCCAGCTCTCCTTACAGGTAATCGGATAAATACAAACGCGCACACACACACCTATGCATATGGAGAATATAGAAAATATATATTCAAATTTGACCTTATATTATAGTCGTGGGCAAAAACTTGCCTTTAACTAAAGTATTATAGTTTTGTTCAACTCTTCCTTCTTCCTGTTCTCTAGTTGATAACTAAAGTTTGATTCACGGTATTTGTTTGAGCACATAAGTTACGATGGATATTAAAACAACCAATCTCCGTTAGTGTAAGTAGACAAGTTATATACTTCCGATAAGTTTGATTGGCTGGTTGTTTTATGGGGCTTATCTGCCGTGTCCACCGCGGGGAATCGAGCCTCGGATTTTATCATTGTAAGTCAGTAGACTGACCACTGTCCCATCTGAGCACCTTTCCATAAGTACAGCGTAGGAAAATTTTTAAACAGTATTACATACGTCAATGACGAGAGACGTACGGATTATAATTTGTAGCCAAGGCTTTCACAATTATACACCCGACTTACACCGAGCACTTTTTGTTTATTATGTTCCTAACAAAAGCATCGGAGGTTCAAAAATAAACTGTAAAAATCTCGTTACAACCTAGAATATTGTAATCCTTTTTTTATGTACAATTTGGCTTCAATATTTCAAAATGCTTTGCTTTTTTGTTTCTGATATATGTAGCTTATTTACTTTTGACGGTCTTTGTGTAGCCTTGCGCAAAAAAGTTCTAAATACAATAAAACAGAAACTAATTCCTCTATATTGTAAGATTGTGCTTGGTTTACGAACAGAATAACCCTGGCGGTTCATGTGACGCAAATTTCTACCATATGTCATTTAAATCTTAATTTAAACACGGAAATAACGCCACATAGCAACAAAACATACAACTTCATGTTAAAGAACGGATTACTTACGGAAATACTTCATCGGTGTGCGTTGCACTGATCCTATTTCTGCGACTGAAAAACAATGCGGATAACGTTGTGGGAGCACAAATAAAATTCAAATTTCAAAATAAATGATCTTTTAACAGTTAACGACGAAAATCTTTAACTGGCACTCTGTGCAAAGCTGTACTAAAAATCTGACAGACTCAGGAAATCATAAGTATAACATTCTGTAGAACTGAATTGTGATATCGATTTGGAGTTGTTTTTTTTTATCTTCTAAGTGTCACTTGATATAATAAGTACGTGTTAAATCAAACTTGAGAGAGTTTCAAAAAAGAGTCAAAGTGAGAAAACATAGACCATTAAAAAAAAAGCACGAGAATTAAAAAATAAAAGAGTCCCTTGTTCTGGAACACTTTGTTTGGCTCTTTATTACTTGTTTGTTTTCGTAGATCGTGATTTTGACGATAGTCAAGTGAGTAATTTTACTAATGTAAAAATAAATAAACTTGTCTTTTCAAGTTGGAAGAAAAGTGACTTTGTTACATGTTCAGCAACAAAAAAAGATCATATTTAGCTCTAATAAATTCATGACTATTAAAGTATTTACCACAAATAGTACAGAGTATTTTCTGAGATCTGTATTCGTCTTTCTCTGACATAATACATAGGAAAAGATAAACTAGGAGAGTAGGATTGTCTTAATTGGCACCATAAAATGTCACTAAATGTGTATGTTTGTTTGTTACGGATTTCGCGCAAAGCTGCACGAGGGTTATCTGCGCTAGCCGTCTCTAAGTTAGCAGTGTAAGACTAGAGAGAAAGCAGCTAGTCATCACCACCCACCGTCAACTCTTGGGCTACTTTTTTACCAACGAATAGTGGGATTGATCATCACATTATAACGCCCCCACGGCTGAAAGGGCGAGCATGTTTGGTGTGACGGGGATTCGAACCCGCGACCCTCAGATTGCGAGTCGAGCGCCCTAACCACCTGGCCATGCCGAGCCCGGACAAATCTAAATCTCCTAAACTGGCCGAACCTTGTGGCGTAATATTGGATTTATGATTGAAAATATCGTTAACAGCGAGAATATATAGTCTAATCATTACAGGTTTTAATATTCTTGTCTGCTGATTTATGATATTATGTACTTCTAGTCAATTTCTTATGTATCACTGGCTTCATTGATTTAAAAAATTACTTTGTAGTTCTGATATACGTAGCTTGCATAGTTTTGATGAAAAATTGTCATTATTCCCAATCCCAGAGTTACAAAAAATTCAACAACCGTCTAATATAGATTATGGGTTTAAAGGTTCTACAGAATATCATAATATTTTTAAAACTTTCACGCCTGTACTGTAACTTCCGAACAATTATTTAATGGACCACTGTGCTATAACGACTTCCTATGGGTTAGCGGCAAGTTTATGGGCTACAACGCTAAAATCCTAGGTTTGATTCCCAGCGATGGATATAGAGTAGGTAGTCCATAGTGTAGCTTTTCGCTTAAAAACTCACGTTATTTTAAAGTCCTAATATAATTAATGCTGGCTTTATAACAGTTTTTTTCATATATTATGGCACTTCGTCGTAGAGTAAGTTACGTTATTTCTTTAAATTACTTTAATCGTCATCGACTCAATTTTCGGAAAACGTAACTTAATAATAAAGCACAACACAAATGTGATAATAGGAAGCATTTATTAAAATTTGGTATGGAGGTTTGTTGGGTCCCTGGGAAGATACATAAAAATTTTCAGTTTTTCATTTTGCGTTTTGCAGTTTTTATGGGAGTTGTTGCGTTTTTTACCACCACTTTGCCCCCTGTTGATGGATCTTCACCGAATTTGGCATAAAAGTTTATTGGGTCCATGTAGAGGTACATGCAAATTTGCAGTTTCACATTTTGTGTTTTGCAGTTTTCATGGGCGTTTTTTTTACAATTTTCTGTAAGAGAAGCAACTTTTCATGTCCTAAGATAGCCTTTCATTAATCATGAATTTACTTAACTTCCGCCCAGAGAATGGGTATTCCAGCTAGCAGTAAATAATTTTTCTTTTTATTGGATTTAACTTGATTGTATGTTATTTACAGAATCGGTATTCTTGATATTTATAGCACGATTCTTCTATTAATTTAATTTGTAATTACTTATTATGCAACTTAATGATCTTTTTTTTATTTATTTTTATGCGCTATCGGTACTGTCTTCTGCTGAACTCTAGTGGTCAGCGGCATGGTTATTTATCTCGGGTTTTACGAAGAAATATTTTAAATTAAGAAGCGCGTTAAAATGTTGTAAAGTATAACCGTTAATCATATCTGTTTAAAAACTTCCTTTGTAACCGTACGAGTAAGTTAGTAAATTATATTGTTGGTAACCTAATCTAAAGTTCAAAGTACATGTACATTAACGAACGAGAATACAATGCCTAGAAAAGTTACGACTTCGAGAGACATGTTTGGATTGCTTGGTTGTCAAGAGTGAGAAGTAATATGAATATAACAAAGCTAGACGGGTACGTTATTGAATGTTAAAAAAATTGTTTAGAAAAATAACCATAGTACGTAAGCTGTAGTTCTGGAACTGAAAGTCAGTTACATTAACCCTACGACAGTATATGAAAACAGAAAACCATTGATGATTGGTAAGTGAGACTTACTCTGTTCTTTCTTTCGTATTGCTTTCGTTGAAAGTGTCGGTAGGAATGTTTAACAAATTAATGTTGATCAGTTTTAATTTATTATTACACTTCTGTTATAAAGATTATTGGGTACCTAACTGATGAAACAATGAATTATTATCTTTATAAGTAGAATAGTAATAACAGTATATTTGGATAGCTATACTTGATGCGGTTTATTATTATTGTTTAACTATATAACTTGTGTTTACTAATTTTAGCGGAAGTTTATATCAATTAACTCTCAGGCCTGTCTAATATAACGTAATTTCACACTTTATATGATACTCATTACACTGTCAGGCCTGTCTAATTACAGCTTAAACGTGGTTTTCACACTTTATGTTATACTTATCGTACTGTGAATGTGAGGCCTACCTAATGAACAGACATTTTAAACTTTACGTACTTATCCGACCGTCAGGCCTATCTAAAGGAAATTTTACATTTTATGCATTTATTACTCTGTTGGGCTTACGTTTATTAGATTTTTACTAGTAAAGAAATAATTGTAGGTTCGAACATTTTGCATACTCTTTCTTTTCATCTAAAGAGTTTATGTGCTGAATTAAACTTTTGCATATTACTAAATTCCTTAAGACAAATTAATTATATATTTATATAATCTTTAAAGACCAAGGATACACTTGCTGAAAAAAGTTACTTTATGACATCTCCAAACCAAAAACCTGGACAAAAGACTTGAAAATTTAAGCCTTTCAAGCTAAGAAGTGTAAGGAATGGACGAAAGAATCATATACTTATTATATCTTCCAGGTGAAGAAGTGTAAACATTTGACGAAGGATTTAATATTTGTATTTTCCAGGCTAAGAAGTGGAAGGAATGGGCGAAGTATAAAAAACGTTGTTACTCGACGAAAGCTATAAACAACTATAAAGTTTTCTAATGTAAGAAATTTAGATATTGAAAGAACGAAAATGGAGTCATATTTCCAAAGCTAGTATATGTTCTTGAATATAGTTTTACACATTTGTAACCTACTAAAGACCATGGACAGTTTTAAATGTTTACATTATATTTAAAGTCAAGAAAGAGAGGCGTCGCTAGGCCCTGGCACGTGGGGCCCGTGCCCCAATTCTATTTCATAGTGCCTCGAATCCGCAGTTGGTGTCAGAATAGAAAACCATGATCGATACCATATTGACACGCTGAAAATTCCCGCATCTTTGGGCCCGAACCCCGAATCTTTTAAACACCTAGCGACGCCACTGTCAAAAAATATAGGTTCTTGGTCATAATTTTGCATGTTTGTAATGTATTAAATACCAAGGAATATAAGTGTTTCAAGACAGTTTTAAATGTTTACATTTTATTTAAGGTCAGGGGAATATAAGCTTTTAAATGTAGTTTTACATGTTTATAATGTACTAAAAACCGAGGAATGTGGATGTTTAAAGATAGTTTTAAATGTTTACATTGTATTTAAGGTCAAGGAAGAAGAAACTTTGCAATGTTAATAATACTTCCAGAAAATAATGTTTTAGTATTAATAATACATTCAAGAACAGGGAATGTATGAAGAAGATTAACATTTTACTTATTCATATCTTCAACACAAAAAGGGTGTAGATACTAGAAAACAAGTTGTAGGTATTTATGATACTTTCAAAACCAGAATATGTAGATAGAGAAGAATTTTTTTTATCTTTTTTAATCCTTCACATAGAACTGGTGTCAATAGTAGCTTTGAATATATTCTGTGGCTTCTAGGATAAGAAATGTTGAAGAACGAAATTTTTTTATGTCCATTATACATTCACAGAGAAAATATTTGATATTGAACGAAAGTGTACACATTTATTTTTCCTTTAAAGGCATGAAGTGTTGTTAGAAAAAATTGTACACACTTGTAATACGTCCAAAGAAAATGAATATTGTAGGAGAAAAACATTTTAAAGCTCTTTCTTTTAATATCCTTGGTGAACAAAAGTTTCTCATATTAATTATGATCTAACGTATGAGAGTTTTCGTGTAAAATACACAACAATTATTAAAAAATAAATAAAACTTCTAATATTCTAAACGTCCAAAAATCGTGCATTAATTATGATCTGACGTATGAGAGTTTTCGTGTAAAATACACAACAATTATTAAAAAATAAATAAAACTTCTAATATTCTAAACGTCCAAAAATCGTGCTTTCAGGCATGAAACTTGAGAGCTATAACTTAGAGTTTCATCGGGAATTATTAGTTTAAATTTTTGCAGTCAGAAATTTTTCTTGTTTTTAGGATAAGTAAATGTGTTTTAAGATTTTTTTATCAGTATTTTGATATATCATGTTTTACGTTCTGGTAGTCCATAAAGGAATAAGTGACAAAGACGAACGCTGGAAAATTTCTTGTATGTTATATTAATACAAAAGCTTGCCAGACACTTGCTAAACCACTTGAGACGGATATTTAACTTGAATTGTTCTTAAAACGAGTAAGCTCAAATCGAAATTAGGGTAAAATATTGGTCTGATATTCAAATAGAAAAATGGACATCTGGAAGTCCTGTGAACGAACTCGTAAGGTGTTTCGGCGTACACTAATTTCGATATAATAGAGTGAGGCCTGAAAGGTACGTAGCGTAGCGTTCTCAAAATAAGTTTAGATAGACTATGAACGTAATTTCATTTTTTTTCCATTGTGTACACTTAAGTGGTCTTTTTATCCAAAACTTTCTTACTGGCGAATAATTCAAAGTTGTAAAAACAGCTAACTTGATACAAATGAAACAAAACTGTAGTTTAATAACAACCTTGTACACTTCCAAGTACCAGAACAATTAATCAAGAAGAATATAATATCGACACTACTGACTCTACGGTAATGTTGGTGATATATAAAGGGAACCTGCATCCAGTTTATATGTAACTAAAACGTTTGTCCAATTTGTATTGATATATAGATAAGTGTGATCAGTTTGTATTGAAATATAGATAAAACCTGTATCCAGCTTGTGCTGATATATAAATAAAATCTTTTGTCCACTTTGTACTGATATGTAACTAAAACGTGAATCCAATTTGTATTAATATATAGATAAAACCTGTGTTCAGTTTCTATTGATATATAGCTAAAACCTGTGTCCAATTTGTATTGATATATAGATAAAACCTGTGTTCAGTTTCTATTGATATATAGCTAAAACCTTTGTCCAATTTGTATTGATATATAGATAAAACCTGTGTTCAGTTTCAGTTGATATATAGCTAAAACCTATGTTCAATTTCTATTGATATATAGCTGAAACCTGTGTTAAATCTGTACTTATAAGTTACTAAAACCATTTTGTATTAATATAGGACTAAACTTGTGTCCACATACTGGTGTCCTGTGTGTATAGTGATATGTAACATATATTAGTGTCCAGTCTATACAGTGATATATAACAAAAAGATGTGGCCATTTTGTAATGATTTATATCGCAAACTTGTGTTTAATTTATATTGATATAATAACAGAAGAATTCTGGATGTGAATTAAGAAATGTAACCCAAAACGTATTGTTTTCTGAGAGACAACAATACTGTTGTATTTGGGTATAATACCAAGTTGCTTATTTTTACATTTTAGCGAATTACAATAGTATCCATCTCCTTTGTAATATTTTTGTTGTATATGTTGTCTTCAAGTTGATTTATTTCAAATAGAAAAAAATATGATTCAACACTTTCTCTTTACAAATAAAACATTTTATGTTATCTTTCCACACAAGCAACCAACACATGGTGTGACAATGTAATAGATATTATTAATATAGGTAGTTCTAAAGACACGTTAGTCCAAGGTAAAAAGAAACTGAAACTCGTGCCAAACAAAATATAGAATATGAGATCGATTCATCTCTTGACAACATAACATACATGCTTGATATTTATGCTCTCTTTGTGTCGTCTCTGATCTACACAAAAATGTATACAAATTCTCAATATTTTGTATAATAACATAACATTTGATGGTGTTTATAAAACAAGCAAATTTTGTTTGTTTTAGTCTAATATTTCGTCGTGATATGGTATCGGCTACTGCCACAAAAATAGAATTATTCTCTCGCTTCTCTCTCTTCGCCTTTCTACATAAGTAATTTAAATCCGATTTTTGTCCGAAAAGAAAATTTAAAATATATACGTTTTACTAAGATATTGAAATTCAGGAACTTATTGTTGGAGATAAAAAAAATTTATTAATTGTGCAAACATTTAAATTGGATCAATGAATATACTAAAGATTCGAATAGCGTAGGCGAAAGGGATAATAAACAATTAATAAACAGAAAGTGAAACTCATGGGTTTCTTTGAATAAACTTTTATTTTTAGATGCCGGACAAATAAAACCTAGTGGAACATTCTATATTTGTTCATGCAATACTTTTGTATGTCCAGTATTTCGTACGCATATTCAACAATATACATAAATTAATACAAAACATGTATTTCAGTAAGAAATTGCCTAAATATTGGAAATATTTGAATCTGTATTTGTTTGTTTCTTCTTAAGCACAAAGCTACAGAAAAAAAGGATATCAGTGCCCTTCCCACTGAGTATCCAAACTCGATTTTTAGCATTATAAGCCCACAGTTTTACCGCTGAGCCACCTGGGGGGAGAGGGGGTCATTGAATTTTTATATGATAATCAATTTCGGTATATATGATCGGCATGTCTGTGAATTGTTTAAGGCTTAAGATTGTAAAGTTCCAAATAAATATTTTCACTTACATGTACGTAAACAGCCAAGTCAATAATCTGACGAAACTTAATTTTACATTTTATCTCAGATATTTAGTAATATATTATAAAACTATTACCTTATTTAGCCCAAGTCTAGACAACTTTGTCGACTGTTATTAAACGATTCAGTGAAAAAAGTTCAATGGGCCATTAATTTAAAGTAGGCGGACGTGTATTAGTTTTGTTTTACATCCAAAGATTTTAACGTACGGGAGTTTATAAAAAAGAAATTAAGCTTAAAAAAACCCAGTATCTTTTATCCGAGAGATAAGTGAATGAACATAAAGTGCTATTTACAACATTTTAACAATAAAACTACAGTAACTGATTAAAATACAACAATTATATTACACAGTAATAAAATAAATTATATATGTTAGGACATAAATTTCAGACAGGTAAAACTAAAGTGACCGGGTTCGTATGACAGTATTTCGTTATTTATGGGCTTTCAATGACGTTTTTGTCACTACTAATTAAATTGATTCCGGTATGAATGCTTCTCACGAGAACAGCCATTTCCATGCCAAATAATGATCAAAAATTGATCGTGAAAAAAAAAAAACAATTACTATGTGCCATACTATTCACAATTCAACTATGTGTGAGAATCTGTCTTGACAAGGAAAACAAGCAAACAGTTGCGGAATGTGGTGTACGTTTACTTTTTATTATGTAAGTTGGAAATACTTTTGCTAATTTTCAAGGAAAATATAAATCAGCTAAACGCAAGCACAATTTAAATTTCGAAACAAACAATATTTATGTCCAAGTCACGCATAAATATATATATAAGTAACAGCTACTTTCCTAAAGGTATACGACGCTAGACGCCGGGACTCGGGGCCGTGTCCCGATTCTATTTGAAAGTGTCCCGAATCCCAGTTGGTGTCTCGAAAAATCAGAGTAGAAAACCTTAATCGATATCATATTGAAATTCCGCAAATTCCCACACCTTTGGGCCCGAGTTCTGAATCTTTTAAGTACCTAGCGATGCCTCTGCTTCGCTATAACACAAGCACTGTCTGTATGTTGGGTTTCGTCTAAATTGCGATATAAAGAAACATATTAAACCATTAAATCATGCTTTTTGCGACTTACTAAAGGAAAATATAATAAGACCGTTATATACGTTTCCAGATAATAAAGTTTGGAATTAATATGAAAAAAATGTTGTTGTAATTTTATAACGCTAGTAAAGTGTTTCGAACTTAGATTATTAAGACTATGATATGCTCAGAAGGTTAATTTATCGACGACAAGTACAATGCTTTGTAGTACGTCATGGTTAGGCCTACCCGTCTGTTTTCTGTATTGCCAGCACAAGTAGCGGCACGACTTTGGTTCAAAACATGAAAAAGCGATATGAATTGTGTAAACATTTTACATACTACGTGGATAGAGTTTATGTAATCTAGACTTGTGAATCTTAAGTTTTAAACTACTGTGCTGAACTTACTGAATCGTGTACTGTCTGATCCTTCAGTGATAGGACAAAAATTGTTTTGCGATAACGATCGTTAATTCTACAAACTAAACATTTTGAATAATTGAGGCTTACAGATTAAAAGACATACAAAAACTGTGGTCTACCAAATAATATACAACGAACAGTTTGATTTTAGCTACAATCCATATTACAATTTGAGGTCTGCTGGTTAAAAGAAAACAAGTTTTTACTGAGTACTAAAGTTTTATTGTATTGAGAAGTTTGTATTTACGATTAGTTATTTAGAATACGATAATCATGACAAAGATATAATAATTCTTTTTTATATACGTATTCTAATTATTTGTTTAGCTGTTTTAAATAATATAAATAAAAACTTTAAATTGTCAAAAATTATTGCATAAATATTTACTGAATTTTATGTTTACAAACTTAACGTTTTATTTTGAGCATTAACTAGTTTGTCGTATAAAATTGAAATAAAGCATTAGCTATAACTTATTTTTGTATTATCAAATTTAAGTACCTTGCTAAAAACATACTACATTACCCGATATACGTTTAACCCTGGATATACATAAATATATACTAATTTAGAATTATTGAAGCTTTTGCAAATAAGTGCAAATTTTACACGTTACCTATTATATAGGAATTGAGATATCGTAACATCTGACATCTACAACTTGAATAAATAAAAGTCAATGAAAAATTTAAAAAACCGAGGTTAAATGGTATATCCCAGTTAAGGAAATATTTTATTTATATTTAATGCAGTTAGCCCATACCAAAAATTTTTTCTGGTGTCGCTAAGAAACTTGTAAGCTAGCGTCTTTAAATTTTGCCTCTTTTTCATCCTAGCGTTATGTTTCTGATTGACTTGAGTGTAAAGAACCGTACATCTGTTAACTCTAAATGTAAACATAAGATTTAAGTATTTTCCTGTGCATGTAACATGTATTTGCAAAGAAGCTTAGGATTCTTATAAACATGCTGTTATCATTTAACTATTTCTCTTTAGGCCTAGGGACGCTATAAACAACAATTTAGGGCTATATAGTATCTAACATGCGGGTTATCTTCGATAACGTTACATATAAAATAAAGACTAGGAATGATTTTCTCGAGTACAGTATTAAGAAATGCTTTTATGTATTCATACACGCGACTTATATATAAAATGAAATGATTGTATATTGGATCTGGCGAATTAGCATAATGACCAACACTTTATTTAGTATTGCAATTTTTAATCACTGGTATGAGATTTACAGGCCTGTTTAAAAAGTTTTAGTGCTGTACTTTACGAGCAACTATTTAGAAACATTGCTTTGGAATCTTTCGACCTCTTCAAGCTGCACATATTTCTCAAATATTATAAATTTCCCTGGTGTAATAATGTTTTAGATTATATTTAAGTTTTTATTATTATCATTAGAGGAACACTTTGATCGGTCTACTATGTATTTATATAGCCAGAGTTTTAAAGTAGTTAAAGTACAGTAATGCTTTAAATCATATTGAAATATATTTTTAATCAATGTTTAAAATTCAGTCAGAACAACTAAATTTAACCAAACCCTTCTAGCAACTTGGAGATTTTAAAATCGTTCAAGTGGTAATAAAATAAAACGTATATGATGTTGGAAAAGTATTGGTTGGAGCTTTGAAAGTAACTAAGTTAGTGACGTCCGTTACAAAAACTTAGTTTTATGTGTGTGTGTGTTACATTAATGAGAAATATCCAACCTTAAAAATAAGCAAAGAAAAAATATTTTTTGGCCTTTCATGAAGTTAGCTTTCGGCATAGATTATGTACTTAAACATTCAACAGCTTTCTTTCTTCTTTTGTTTTTCATATTCACGAGATATTTTTTAAATATGGACAAGAAGTCTATTAGATCAACATAGTATATCATAAAAACAAGGGAAACACACACTCGTGAAAACAAGAGAGACGGATGTTCAGATTAAGAACCAAAATCAAGGACATGTCTTTGACTTGTGTGTCCTGTGGTTGTGGTGTTGAAAGTGTGAGATAGGAGATCTAATGAGAAGACAACTGTTCTTTTAGTGACTCGTAAATGTAATTCTAAGAACGTACTAGTGAAAGTAAAGAACAGTGTTTAACAATATGTCAATCACACTATGTATTCTATACCTGGGACTCATCAGGCCTGTTGGGATGCAACAGACACGGTATAGTATCCAACTGCATGAAAGGTTGAACATCGAATATTATGCGTGAATTAGGTTAAGTTGGTGAAGTGTAATTTTATATATTAGTCATAAATTCAGACGATATATAAGCTGTACCTTTCGGTCCAAACTATTATACACACACACCCTCATACTCGTAAAAGAACAACATAATGCTTGCTGAACTCTAAAGCACGTTTTAAGTTATAGCATATTAATAAGGAAAAAAAAAACGCGTAACCCAAAAACTTCATTTGAAAGGTCAATATGTAACAAAAGACCCACGACTAAATCTTACAGATCAAAATTAATGATAGATTTATTTAAAAAACAATACTAAAAGTATGATAATAAACGGGTGTTGACCTAACACGTTACATTTAATATAGCTTATCCTAAAAGATTTACCGTGCAAGCTAAAACTGTATTTTTCAACATGTTTCCGTACTTGTGAAATGTATGATTATATTGAGAGCTATTTATTGTGATCCTTTTTAGTTAAAAAATAATCAGTCAAACCAGGATCGTAGTCGAAAGGCTACCATACTATTCTAAAAGGTCTACTTACTGTCTTTTGATTTTTTTAAAAATAAACACTTGACTCTCATTTAGGCTAAAGTAAAACGTTTAATCCCCTCCCCCTGTAATTCTGGCTACGCCTCTGAGTTTACCTACAACACAACAGTACATTAAATATGATAAATAGAAATGATTGAGTCTCCTGTAATTCAATAGACAGTAGCTCCAACCATTTTATGCATAAATATGGTCTAGTATTAGCTAAAAAAGGTGAATACAAAAAAGGAACACCCCCTCCCCCAATTATTTCTTGGCTATTAGAATTTCAAAACTATATATAGTGGTCTTACAATGAGACATAACATCCAATAACGTAGATGATTGCTTGGTTGCGAGTGGTGAGAATACATATTCAAATCTAATCACTAAGGAGCAAAATATTCCCCCAGCCCCACCATGTTTTTTCAGTCCCTCTGTGGGACAGCGGTAAGTTTACGGACGTACAACGCTAAAATCCGGGGTTACATTCCCCGCGGTAGACACAGCAGATAGCCCTAACGTGGCCTTGCTCTAAAACAAGAAAACCACCATCCTCCCAAGATGGCGTCTGTTTATATAATTACTGTGACTCATATTTGACTTCAAAATATGAGAGTAAAATAGGTTTTTAACATTGCTATGTTAGAATTGAAATTAGAAGAAGACATCAGCTTGTATTCGAGAATTTAGTTTTACTACCATGGTTGCCGTTAGCTTTGTAATAATTATGCATTTTTGTCCGAATAACTGGAGTTCATAGATATCAGTTTTTAATGAATTAGTTACGACAAAAAATAAATTTTATATTTGAAGCTTAATGAATTCAAATCAACTAAATAATTTATCATACTTGTTCGGTCTCATTCGTCGCAAATACCTTTACAAAGTTCGTTGGGTAGCTTTCAATATACAGTTGAGGGCGCTGTACTACCACCGTTTCAATTACTCTATAGTTTTGTTTGTTTGTCGTTAAGCGCAAAGCTATACAATAGGCTATCTGTGCTGTGCCCACCACGAATATCGTAACCCTGTTTGAGCCCTCGGACTTGCCGCTGAACCACTAGAGAGCATTTTCTCTGTATGTTTACTTATTTCTTTTTAGAAGATTCGGCAATACTTCTTTGTATTCATTTTATTTCCTGAAACAATGAGATGGCAGTGAAAAACAAATTGAATGTTTTTAGCTTATTATATAGACAATAAGACTGTTGTTATTTCGAAATACGCCACTTTGTCACCTACGGAGCTCGTGAATATAAATTATAAACGTTATATGTATGGAAAATTTTCTTTTACTTGGTCATTTAAGTACGATTCAGCAACACACTAAATATTGACGAAGCTAAACCTAAGTTTAAAATAGTCATTAAATAAAAAGGGTTTTAGAAACAAAACACACCTCTTCTCGAGAGGAAGCAAAAAGATTGTTTAGCTCTATACCTTTCACAGCTGCTCATGGATGGATACAAGGGTTCAGCATGATTGTTGGCTTCCCCATTGAGCTCTCACGAATTGTTTGTGAAGTTTCCGCTTTTGGTTTCATTAAGCTTGCTTGAAAATAGTGAATCTAGAACTAAGTAGACATCGGCTCTCTCAATTTAAAAGGACATTAAATACTCATGTTTATCTGGTAGGACTCGACTTCGACCATATAACCAACAGGACTAAAACATCTTATAGTTTCAGGTGGAATGGCCGCCACGCCGGCCGTTCAACGTCGACGGCCTGGTTTTATCGTCTAGACAGGCTCAACCCTTTGAACCCAGGTCTGAGCAGCCTGTTGTTGAGCAAGCTACACGTAGAGGCGGTTCCCTGCTAGACGAGCGCTTTCCGAGCTTGCAAAATAAGAAAAGTAATGTATTTACGCCGATTGTTTAGCTTGAAAGACGCGGAGTGGGCAACTAAGCAGTGGTAGCTTAGTTTAGTCGCGAACTGGCCGTGATTTATCTAGGGTTATCTCTACTTGAAATGGCAAATATTTGTTACCATTTTACTACCAGACTTGACCGGTCTTTGGGACCGTGATCTGACGTAAGCTCGGAATGCACTTACAGCTGTATTTTCTAAACATGGACCACCTCTCATACTTTACAGCTGCAGTGTATTCAGAGTAGAAAACTTGAAAATGAACACTCACTAAGGCTTGGGTCTCGTCATTGTAAGAACTGGTTTTTACAGTGTCATTGGGTAAGATAGCTATCATAGATTTTAGTGTTAAAAAGGACTTTTGGAGCTTCAGTGCTAATACTACACATTGTAATTGATTTTTAAACCTGCTGAAAACTACGGTCATGTTTCACGTAGTACGTTTAACTTTTTTACGTGTTTTTGTGACTGTCTGAGCTATTGAAAAAGTTAAGACTCTTGCCCGACAAAACGCAAGTAACCTTATCATTAAAAACTGGCTACATTTTCAGACATATATATATATATAAAAGAAAAGAAAGTAAAACTGGTTCTTCACACACACAAAACATGAGTTCATTTTCGCTTTATAATATAATATTTTAGCAAAAGAAATGACTGGACATTTTGATGAGTTCTTTAAAAGAGACTAATAATACATTCATCTCGTTTCTAACTGAGAAAAAGATAGGAGGCCTAACAAGACGGCAAATATGGCTGGATGTTTGGTGCTATGAATAATAAAGAAAAAAGACACGCGAAATAGAAGTAAAAACCGTAACACGATTGTCACTTTACGTTCTTTACAAGTACGTATTTGACAAAAATTTGACTTTAAGTTGTGCACAATATATGGACCATATACAGTAGCTTTTAATGGATTTATATGTTTGGAATTAAGCACAAAGCTACACAATGGGCTATCTGTGCTCTGCCCACCACGGGTATCGAGACCCGGTTTCTTGCGTTTTAAGTCCGTAGACATGCCGCTGTGCCACTGGGGGGGGGGGCGCTTTTAATGGAAGTAATATTTGTATAAACTTACTTTATTTGAAAAGTTATTATAAATCCTCAACCACTTTTTTTTGCGACTTTTTCTTTAATTAATGTACAAGCTTTCATTAATTTAGCGATGATTTACGGATTGACACATCGCAAGTTTTCAACTATATACGATGTCTATGATTTTCAGAAATAGACAGTAATTTTATTCTTGTTTAGCGTAATAAAACATTATTGCTGTTTTCTTAGTGCAAAGCTACACAATAGGCTAGCTGCATTCTGTCAACTACGGGAATCAGGCCCCGGATTTTAGTGTTGTAAGTTCTTAAGCTTACTGCTGACTTACCGGAGGACATTAAAACATGGTTAGTTTATTATTGGTCGTAATAAATTTCATAAAAAATAAAGTAAAACTCACTCTATACAACAAGTTTGGCAGAATGTAAGCAAGTTTAGATAAAATATCAATTGTAAGGGTTTGACATTTTTTGGTTAATAACCAGTCTGTAATGTCTTTTTGGATAAAATTATCTTTCTTAGCGTTGCTATTTCTACCCCAAAAAAACACTTTTTTTATTTTTGAATAATTATAATACTTATTCACGAAAAGAATAAACAAATTTACTTAGTTTGCTACTTTGTGGACTGGCTTTATATCCTTTATGAAATAAGATTCGTAAAATTTCTAATAAACTACGAGGAAAGAAAATATTAAACTTTATATAAAAAATATATGCATATTAAATTTGTTATATAGGACTTGTAAACGAGTAAGCCAGAGTTTGCAGTTTTCATCATATCTTTAATCTAATAAAAAATGATGTATTGGATGATATTTTGTTTTTTATACACAAAATACTGTTATGTATTAATACAAGGTACCCCAACAGTACACTTGTACTATATTGTTGTTGTTTTTCATTTAACTTGCAATTTAGTGACCAACAAAGTGAAAAAAAACGGAGACCAATATAATAAATTGGCAAATAAAAACTGAAAAAGTTACGTATGAATAGTACAATACAATTGGGGGGGAAAAAAACTTACTTGTAAAAAATAAACAACAACAGATACAAAACACTGTACATTTTAGACACTACCTAATTAAGAGACTTGCATGTTGACGTAATTTCAAAATCAATTTACAGTGTTATTCCATCCGCAATTTTTTTTATTTTTGGCAAGTAACATATTTTAAAAATATAATGGAATTGTTTACTAAACGCAATGCTGTAGAGTAAAACGTTTAAGGCTTAAGAAGCAAACAGGCTTAGTAGGCCTAACAAATGTGTACCTACTCGCTGTTGACTCATATTTCATCATCTCTCACAAGTATAGTATTAATTCTTTGTTCGTTGATGAACCATTTCGTACCTTATAGAGCATTTGATGAGTGGATTATTCACGAGAAAACAGAATGTATCCATTTGTTTTGGAGAAAGTTTTGCGAAGGTTATTAAATAACGTATTAAATAATAATAATGAAAAAGTATATGAAGTTGTATAATTACTCGGAAACTTTCGTGTCATGGTACACTGGTTATTTACAGTCCAGAAAGTATCTTTTTTAATTATAGGTTCCTAATAAAGATAACAGACCCAACATTCTAGTATTATGTGTATTTTCAATATTTCAGTGAACTTTAGCACATGGTAACATATGACTTATTATAAAGACCGTTTTCTTGCTGCACTTAGTAATAATATATGTTAGTTGTTTTTTAAATAACCGATGTAATTTACAAATTATCATCTTTTTTATATTGCGAGTACAAAACTGGCATATGTACAAAAGCTTTTTAATAATTTCCATAAATATTTCATAATTGCTGCTACAACGTAAAGGGGGCGTTCTAATTATAAATATTTTATTAGAATAGAAATAAAGTACTGAATTAATGTATTAAAATATTTCTGTTTATTAAGTGTTGTTTTACCCCTAAAACAAAAACCATATGTTCTCTTCATGTGTAAGTTATACACAAAAGCCAGAATAAATTTGTAAATACGAGTGAGTGTTTTTGAAAACAGTTTTATTTTAAATTGAGTCACATTACATTTTTAGGGCCTAAATAAATTAGGTAAATCATGTTTTTATGTAAGATACGATTAAAGTTTTCAAGGAAATAAAAATTCTGCAAGTTTAAATGATAACACTTTCTGTTCTGTCATATCTTACCATTCGGAAGACAAGCAAGACAGAAAAGGCAATCATTTTAATACGGGGGTAGAAAAACAAATGTTTCTGAGTCTGTTTAATTTTTTATTTCATTTTTCGTACATATAACATACAAGAGTTATTAAGCTAATTATTATAGCTTTCTAATTTCATTTTTGTTGGAAATTAAATTATGCGGATATTTGTTAATACATATATTTGTCAACATTGAGTTTTCCTTCACAAATATAAACTCGATACTTTGCTCAGATAAGTACTAAAAAACAACCTCGGTATTTGAGAAGGAAATAAAATAAACAAAACCTCATGACGTCTTTAATACGTCATATACAAGTATTACCATTGGTCCTCATTCTTAAAAAGAGGTTCTTAAATTCAGTAATTTATATGTCTCCAAAAATATGTAATATTCAGTCTTCAAATATAAAGTATTTTTTAGGCTTTCGGTAAACTGTCACATTTCAGAAGGATGAGCCTAACGTGTGGGAAGTTTCGTCCGTGCGGTCAAATGTTGGAATTCCAGGCACAAACTATGGCTAAATCATGCACGAATGACCATTAAATTAGATACATTTAGCATTCTCTAGCTTATTATAACCAGAGTTTCGTTTAGGGTGTACGCAGAACATAGGTGTTCACACACATCAGCCACCCTCCTTACAGGTAATCGGATAATCACACACACATCAGCCAGCCCTGGGATAAATACACACACACACATCAGCCAGCCCTCCTTATAGGTAATCGGATAAACACACACATCAGCCAGCCCTCCTTATAGATAATCGGATAACTACACACACACATCAGCCAGCCCTCCTTACAGGCAATTGGATAAACACATACGCACGACACACACATCAGCCAGCCCTCCTTATAGGTAATTTATCCAATTGCCTGTAAGGAGAGCTGGCTGGTGTGTGTGTGTGCGTGTATATAT